TTGGGCATGCTTTCGTCCGATCATATTTTACAAAGAATTTAATGCATGCACCTTATTAGTTCTTCGCCGCCGTGTTTGAATAGCTCGGTCGGCAATCCATCGGTCCCCCCGCTTTGTTGTTCGTCAGGCGGGTAATTGCTATTCGAGCTTCTGCATGGTCCGGCAATGGAACTTCTGCTCCATCGTCATCGATTGGGGAATCGGGTTCGCCTCCTCCTGGCATTGTACTTTCACTCCCGTTCAGCAGGTTGGAGAGGTATTCCCTTTATAATTTTAGTGTGCTATGTGCATCGGTCACTCTGTCACCTTTGGGTGATAACCTTCTGTAAGCCGCCGCACKTTTTTCGTAGAATTTTCGAGCATTACCCCGTGGCCAGCTTTTCAAACCCTTTATACTCACTAGTTTTGGCCTCTTTCTTTTTCTGTCTACAAATGTCTCGCTCTCAACTCTCGGTATCTATCCCATCTCTCACGTGTTTTGGTTGATGGTAACGTTGCGAGGTAGGCAGTCTGTTTTCTCTGCGCTACGACACGGCACTCCTCATCATACCAGCTCTAATTTTGGTTTCGGTTGCAGCTGTACGTAAGAACTCTGAAATGCCGTCCCACAGTCCCCTTACACCGAGTTCGTTGACGAGTACTCTCAGAGAGCAGGAGTGCAACCCGAGGAAAAAATCGTTCGGCTTCCTGTTGTGACAGCGGCTTCTCGACGTCGAACCTTTCTTGGGTTTGTTAACGTGCATTCTGTGCTGTACAGAGGCGGGTGGGAATCTTGGCTACAACAATACCTATAGTGGTCCGAGTCGATGTTAGGACCTCGGAACGTACGCATGTCTAGAACACTGGAGACGTGTCTTCTATCTATCACAACATGATCGATCTGGTTGGTGGTGTTTCGGTCCGAAGAAAGCCAGGTATTTTTCTATGCTGGAATCTAGTACTACCACATTTCGGGCCCGGCGAAGTCGATCAGCCTCTACACATTTGGGGATGTGCTAAAGATACCTTCTTTGACTACCCTGGCATTACAGGTAAATGTAATCTTTCATTAACGCTCGATCAGAGAACTTTCCTTACTTGCGTGAACTTCTACACAGGACTCCTTACACCTTAGTTTTATTTTATAATATTACATATATAAAAATAGTTTTTTTAATAACACTTGCGTAAAATTATGTTATTAAGCACTTTAGTTATATAATACTAATATATATATAATAATATAATATAATACTATATATATATATATGTATACGAGTATTAAATATTATTTATTTCCACACGAACGAAAAATTCATATCGCAAATTTCGCGTGAACGAAGACTTTTGTTCGAATTTCGATTAAACTGTTTGAACTTCGTCACATCACAGATGCTTTTGTTTTGATTTAGCGACACATATTTTGTGAATTGATTTTAAATTTCAAAACGTGCTTCATTAATTTAAATATAAATCTTTTTCATTGTATTTGTTGAAACAATAGTTTCATTCAATAAATTATATTGTTCTTTCTTTAAGAAAAAATATACTTAATTTTATTTAATTAACATTTTCATTTCAATAAAATTTAAATAAAATTGTTTAAATAAATGAAATAAAATTCGTTTATTATAGAAAAAGAAAAACTGAAAACAGCGAAGAGATGTATATTCATCAGTCAACATTACTAGTTAATGCCTAATCTAGTTTATTTTCTACTTCTAGTTTTCTTAGGCTTCAACTTTTGCATTCTGACGTTTTGTTTCTGTTAATAAATTATCTTGATTTCTTTGAAAATTCCTTAAATATTTTTCTATTTTTTTGTAATGTTCACTCCTTATTTGCATACTCTTATTTAGGTTAGCACATAAGTATTTCTTTTTGTATTTGCAGTTCCATACTCAGTCGTTCAGAAGTATTAGTTTTATTCTGTGCTCGCCGTTAGGCCTTGGCCGTTCCGTTGGTATTTCAATGAGACTTTCGCCATCAAAGCAACTATTCAAAAAACTTTGGTCGTCTGGTCTGGTTTTTGGCCTACATCACGTTTTCATTCTTACTTGTTTCACACCGGTTGCTATCAATTGTGTAAGATGAGCTAGCTTGCAAGCCAAAAACCATCTACACCTTTCCCGCATTATATCCGTATTGTCACTTTTAAATATAAAATGGTTTGATACAGAAAAGAAAATGCATACTCTTTACATCGTCTTCGCCGGTCATTTTTATATTTCGCATTCTGGACAGCCTTTTTCCGGACATATCTTTTCTGATCTTTCCAAACCTGTTAAAAAAAAATTAAGTGTAAAGAATCAAGGATTAAAACAGCTAAAATTAAAGATCATTAAGACCATAAATTGACAATCATTTTCAATTATTCTCCTTCYGAAATCCGTTTCTTATGTTCGGATTTTCCGATATAGTATTCCAAAGTAAACGGGACTTTAAAACAAATACCGAACAAATGGTTTTTTCGGCAAAATCAATTTATTTTATTCAGAATAGTCTCCTTCTGCTTCAATACATCTTTTTGCACGGTCAAAAAGCATGTCGAACGAGTGCTTTAGCTCGTTGGCCGGTATGACCGCCAGTATGCAAGCTCTTTGGATGGCCTTTACTACTGCATAACGTTTTCCTTTCAGGGGCAAATGCATTTTTCCGAAAAGGAAGAAGTCGCACGGTGCCATATTATGTGAATACGGGGAGAAGTTAATGGTTAAAATGTGATTTTTGGTCAAATAATTGGTCACAAGCGTCGATGGAAAAAACGTCGCATTATCGTGCAACAAACGCAACGAAGTTCATTTTCGCACAGATAATGCAATAACTTAATTTCTAATCGATGAAATGTCRTGAAATTATCTGTGGACAATCGATAAAGATAGCAGATTCTAAGGCACCAGTCGCTATATGGCGCTTTTTTTACTTTTGAACGCACCCACTACAGTAGCGGACAAAAAAAAGAGGACACCTTAGAAATGTTTGATTATTTAAAAATGTGGACATACATAAAAAAAAGTTTTATGGAACTTGGTTCATATAAGTACTCGAAATAAAAATAAATTACTTAGTTCAAAATAAAAATTTCCATTTTTTATTTGAAGCCGAAATAAAATATTTCCGACATTTCAATTTCTATATGTTACTTTTTATTAAATTAGTAATAATAATAGAGACAGCAAAATGTCTTGATTTAATACTTCGTGGCGCCTCCTTTGTTTTTTATCACTGTTTTTATTCGTTCGGGCATGGAATCAACTAACGACAGTAAAATTTGTGCCGGTAATCCGTTATTCCAAATGTCTTCAATTATTCGTTCAAGTTCTGACAAAGTTCTCAGTATCTTCTTGGTTATCCGCGCTTTCATGATGTGACAAAGGTTTTCTATGGGGTTTATATCAGGACTGTTACCAGACCAGTCCAGTGATAAAACAAATTCTGTTAAATATGGCCCAAAATCATCCTGAAAAATTATATTGTCCATATAGGAAAAGTTTTCTTGTATTGAAGAGACCAGGTTCTCCTTTAAGATCTGTTGGTATTTAATGGCGTTAATATTTCCATCTATCAAGGCCAAATGTGCAACACCATGAGGAAAAACACCCCGAGATCATCCGGCTCCCCCCCTACCTGACGGTACGTTTGACACACTCATTACTGAAACGTTCACCAACACTTCTGCGAACGTACGACATTCAGTCTGAACCGAAGATGTTAATTATGGACGCATCTGAAAATATGACTTTTCTCCAATTTTCTTTGGTCCAGATTTTGTGAAGTGTCGCCCATTGGAGGCGTTTTTGTTGCGTTTTTACCGTTAATAGTGGTTTTTTGGCAGGCCGACAGGAAGTTAGTCCGTCTTCTTGGAGGCGCCGTCGTACTGTTCGCGTACTGATTTCGGTTCCATTTAATTCCTGAATTTTGCTCCTGATGTCTTCAGCTGTTTTAAATCTTTTCTGAAAACTAATTCACTTAATATGGTGGTCATTGTTAGTAGTAGAAAGCACTGACATTTATTTTGTTAAAATTTATTTTACCAATAATTTCACGTATACTCAAGTTTGGCTATCGCCAAGCCAAAATTGTGGCTTTATCAACTTCAGTCAGTTTTGGACTTTTTCCACATTTCATTTTATTTGCAGCCGTTTTTATACTCAGGAATATAATTAACAGCGTTTTATTGTAGCTGAATAGTGTACTTACTAAAATAAACACATATGTACTTGTATAATAAAGTTTGATTTGTTAACACTACATCGATTTGAAGTCACTTCAACTAATTGTCCCGTTTTTTGTCCGCCACTGTATTTTTACTGGGCCTTATTAATATTTCATAAAAACAGTTTTTTAGATTACGAAAAATGTTAATAAAATATACTTACATTTCAATGAAAGTTTGTTCCCTCTCAACGGCTTTGTAAACGAATTTTATGATTTCATATAAAAAAAAAATACATTTACGTTACTTAACAGTTTCGAATATAGGAAATATTTCCAATGTGAAGTACACGATAAGAAAAACACAAAGTTTACAGTAAGGCTAATTGACATCTCTCTGATGCCAACACGACGGGTTTCAAGCACTGTTTTCTTGACTGCTTTTGATGTCATTAGCAAAGAAAAACCTTCACTGAAAGCTTTGTGCGATTAAAACAATTTTGTTTGTTTTCAGCCGTAATTCCATTGAAAACACAAAACTACATAAAAACCCTTTGTTATTTTTTTTTTTCGTAGTAAAAATCGACAGACAAATTTTTATGGAGATTAAACTCTACAAGAACATAAAAAATAATTACACTACAAAAAAATTTCGATTCGGCGTACCCCGTGTTATTATAATCTCACTTCTGTTAGGATCAGGAATTCATGCATGCTCTATGAAACTGTTATTATTTCAAAAATGTGGTAAACAATATTGAATATGTGCCAATATACATACATATATCGAAAACTATGTACTTCTATATAACAGTAATATGATTATTCAAACTACATGTTATATTTTTCATGTTTCCTATTTCCAGTTGGAGTACTTCACCATTACCAAAAAGCCATGTCGCAGTACTACAGCTAACACATTATCTCCAGATGTTTCTCAAATATAAGATGTTTAAAGTAGACATAAAAGCTAAACAGGTATTACCATACTCTTAAATTATATTACAGAAAACTTTTCAATACAGTGAAAATATTGTAATGAAGGCGTTATTGCCGGAACAAGAATCCACGGAATTAAGATTTGATCTTGTGGTCTAACTTTAAAAACAGCCCGATTAATGCTCCAGCTATGATCGAAGTCATTATTTTCTTTGCTCGGGGAAATTTTCTGGTAAACACTGTTTTTGTCACATGAACTTTGTTATGATTTTTATTTTTGTTGGTGTACCCTCATTAAAAGTATAAAACAATTTTGTTTCTATCACATTCAGTTTTCTTATGACAGCTAAATATTCATTTATAACCTCATATACGTTTATTCGTTTACATAACTGCATTTAGTCGACTGTGTAACTATTTTGTTTGCTAAATTAAATTTTTTCACATTAGTTAGATCGTAAATATGCCACGAAAGTGTTTGAACAACCCGGACAATTTTTGTTATGTATGTTTTATTTGTGAATGGGATAGTAGAGACAAAAAGTCACTGTACAAAGAAAGTGTGGTTCAAGCGTGAATCACTAACTTCAGGCCCTAAATAAACATAAACTCAGCGGGGCGAAAATCAAAGAAGGAATATTTGTAGGCCCACAAATACGGCAATTGATGAATGATAAGAGCTTTGAAGAAAAACTGAATGATCAGGAAAAACTCGCCTGGAAATTTTTTGTGAATGTTGTTCAAAATTTTCTAGGTAACCATAAAGCCGAAAATTACAAAGATTTAATAAATGAACTTATGATATCATGGGGGTGTAATATGTCCTTGAAAATACATATGCTGGACTCTAATCTGGATTTCTTTCCGGCAAATTTGAGTGCTATGAGGGACGAACAAGGTGAGAGGTTCCATCAAGACATTTCTTTAATGGATAAGCGTAAGCAAGGGAAATGGAGTCCAGGAATGCTAGCAGACTATTGTTGGAGACTTAAAAGGGACCTATCGGAAGCCAAATATCCAAGAAAATCATAAGTATCTATTAGATATTAGGAAATAATTCTGTAAGTGCGGCTGAATTTTATACTTTTTAGGAAATATATGTTTTGATGTCACAAGAAATTATGATGTGTACATTTTTTTTCATTGATATATTATTATTTGGTGGCCCTGGTATATTAAAAATTTGATATGAATTTTCATATGACAAAAAAATTACAAATTTCTTGACCAGTGTAATTTATTTTATTAATTTTTATTTCCCTTTTTTTTAAATAAATAAACAAATTTCACTATCATCTGTCTAAATGCACAAGTCTGCCGTCTGTCACCATGAA